TGCTCCATCCCCTCCTGCTCCATTATCTCCGGTCTGTCATTAGTTTTTTGGCTGTCTGTCCCCCGGGCTATGTCTAATACATGACTTTGCACGATTCTGTCCTCATTATACTTATTTGAGCTAGCCCGATCATTCCCATTACTAGGAGAGGCAGGTGCCATCATCCTATTGTCCCCACCTTGTGAATAACGAGAACGGGTACCTGAAAAGTATGCCCCAATCTTCGATGTGGAACTCCGTCTCATTGATGCTGTTAGCAGGGGCTGCTGCGGTGATGGCTGCTTCTCCTTCTTCTTTCCCTTGCCTCCCATTGTATAGTCTTTGGAGTAACTGGTTCAGGGAAGAGAGGTAGAGGCTCACGTCTGTTAGGCTGCTGTGAGTGTTCTGCAGATGGGGACTGGCAGTGGGTCCAGACAGGCAGGGTGGAGGGCTGAGTGGAGCCAGATCGAGCGGCGGCAAGGAATGCAGAAATGCCGAGTGCCGGGTTTCGGTGCCGGGTTTCGACCAAGGACGACTTTCGGCTAGTGTTCATTTCTCATCCGGAAGGGCTGTATAGCGTAGCGAGGAGAGTGTGCTCAGACCAGGTCTCCGTAGCGTTGCATTACGCGGTGAAGCTTGTGTGCGGACGGGCGGGCGCACTCACGCTACATCATCACAGCGCGCCACACACCCGTGTGATCAAAGTTTAATTTTTACCAGAATACTTTCAAACACTAAAGAGCTGCAGAGGCTTTTGCTTTTCACATTACATCATTAAGGGCTTTTGTCAATGGCATCAGTATGACATGCTTCTGAGATCATTCAGAATTCATTGACAGGTACATTTGACCTGAAGACAACCTCCATATGACCTTCATTTGACCTACATGAAGTGGGTTTTGCATTCCAGTAGACTTGTATAGGAATGCAAAACTCATCTGGTGTGGCCATTGACACAAACCCTGGGCCTGCTCAGGTAATTACAACGAAGGAAGACCCTCTCACCCAGCAGTCAGTTTGATAAAAGCACTTGCAAGGCTTACATCAAAATCGCAGGACATAAAAAGGTGTCTAATGCGCAGTAAATTTAAAAAAATATTAAAATAAGGACTAGTAACAGACAGGAGATTTGGTATGCTTCACACAGACAGTTGCATGATTCCCTCTGGAGATGAGATGCAGAAGACAAGGACCAAAAGTAGAAAATATAATAGTAGTATATGAAAAAACAATTCTCAGCTAATAATCAGTATGTACATTGCAAACTTGATTATATGACATATGACAAAAGGCTCAGTTAAGTAAGCCATGACAATCAATATTTGCCATGGCAATCATTTTCAGCAATAAAAGCCAAGAGCTTTACCTAATCACATTGCTGGAATTGATCATCATAGCAAATGTGTGTATTATAGTTTAGTAAAGTGAGTCTAGTATATGTTTTCTTTGGAGTACAATAGCTCTTGGCATGGAAATAAACTCATATAAAACTAATTTTCCCTCCCAATATGGACCTGCCAACAATTTCTACTGATTGTGCCTATGGAAATTTAACTTATACCAGATCATTCTGAAATTTGGCTGTCCTCATAAAATACCTATAAACACTTTAAGAAGATTAACTGCAGGTAACAATACAAAAGTCAGTGGACTAATAATTCTGTTTAGATGTGTCTTCATGTAAAGGAGAACTAAAAAAAAAATCTAGTAGCACAATAGGCATATGAGATTTTTCTCTAATGTTTGGTTGTCTATGTTCGCTGTAGGATCTGAAAGTGAATCACCCCTTTTGAAGACAAAAACAGAGTGACAAATATGCCAAAGGTTCAACTTCTAACCTCTCCTAATGTTACTCGCTGAGGGTGGAGCATAATTTATTTCTAAAAGTTTAGTGATGGTCAGGGTAAAAAGCAGGGTGCCAGCAAACTAAAAATTTTAAAAGTATGGTGGTTTGCTGTACTGAGGTGTTGCCACCACCAAACCTTGGTTGCTAAAGTCAGATATGGGTGGTGGAAGATAATTTCCTCTCACATACCTGGGGAAACCCAAGATGTTGATGTGGCTTCATTTGCCCCGCCAATCCAAGAGCTTCTGGAGATGAAGATAGTAGAAACAAGGGCGATAGAGTGGTACAAATGCTTATGAGGTACTTAAGGCAGCAGGTTCAAAGTCATGATTAGGCCGAGGCCAGGGCCGTCTTTACCGCAGGGCAAAAGGGGCATTTGCCCGGGGGCCCTATAAATTACAGGGGCCCACAACAGTTGTCCCTTTTGCCCCCAACAGCAGAGAAAAAAAGAGCCGCGGCAGTGTCGGTTGGGAGATTGACAGGCCATTCATTGTCATTCACCCTGCCCGACAGACCGCAGCCAGGAGGGAGGGAGGGAGGGGGGTGTGTCACTGATCCCCCACGCTCAACGCTGGTGTTCTGCCGGGAGAGGAGTGAGAAGGAGGGGGCAAGGCTAATAAACGAGCGACGAGCAGACTAGCTCCCGGAGCCCCAGGGGAGCCGCCAGCACGTGCCCAGCAGAGCAGAGAGCCAAGGCTATCCTGCATTGCGCCCAGGAGAATGGTGAGGAGAAGACACCTGGGAAAGGTAAGAGTCTGTTTCAGGAAGGGGGGTGGGGGGGTTGGGGGAGGGATGGATTACAGGGGGTCCTGCAGAACTTGCCTGAGAAGCTGGGGGGTTTTCATTATAATGAATTGCTGGGACTTGTAGTCCTGCTTAGCTGGTGGGATTCTGCAAAGCTGTATAATGATTATACAGCAATGCAGAATAGCATCAACTATGCAGGACTACAAGTCTCAGCAATACATCATATTTTTAAGTAGGGATGCACCAGTGCCAGTACTGGGCATTTTCACGTGTACTCTTACTTGTGAAAATACCCGATACTAAGCACAGATACCGGTGTTCTGTTGAGAACGCTGACCTAGCTGAATTTCCCAACGTCTGCATCTGCGCGTGCGCACAGACCAGTATTATCGAGGTAACCGGGATTCATTGACAACGTATTTAGTTTAAAATCGTTAATTGTGACCGTTAATAATATGCCATCCATCATTTACTGCCATGGACGACATATTATTAATGGTCACAATTAACGATTACAAACTAATTCTTTGTAAATAAATGGCGGTTTCCTTGTTAATGCGACAGAACACTGGCACTAAATTTTTAAACTGAAGTGGCTGCCTGAGGTCCCATGCTTGGTAGGGACCTTGGCAGCCTTCCTGTTAACCACACGGTGCCTGTTTATAGTGCCTTCCCATGGCGGAAGGGGGTTTGGGGGGGCTCTTCATGGTTTCTTGCAGTGGGGCCCTGAAGTTTCTAGTTACGACACTGAATATAGATTGTATTTTTCTGTTTATTGTTATTTGTTATTAAAAAATAACAAATATAAATAATTAAATGCTGTGGAAGGAAATACAATTAATTGGCTTAGTAATATTAGATAAAATATGATTTCATGTTTCTCGGTGTGTACATAACTATAATTTTTTAAATAATATTTACTTTTATTTCAAACACCTTTTAGGGCCCATTCACACCAATTGTGGTGGGTTCCAGAGCGGTAGCTGCTGAAACGCACAGCAATTGCACACTAAATTTCCTCCTGTGTTCTGGGGTGGGAGGGGGCGTGGCTGTGCATTGAAGTCAATGGCACTGCAGCCACGCCCCCACCCGCACTGGATCGGAGGCATGGCAAAACATTGCCTGCATTCCGGTCTAGTGCAAACGTTTTGCCATGCGTCCGATTGCACTGCAGACGGAGGTGTGGCTGCGGTGCTATTGACTTCAATGCACCATATGCCCCCTCCCGCCCCAGAACAAAGGAGGAAATTTGGTGTTCAATTGCTTTGTGTTCCAGCAGCTACTGCTCTGGAACGCACAGCAATTGGTGTGAATAGGAACTTAATATGCATAGCATTCCTGTGGAGCTCTGCTATACACTCACACACTGCACATTACTGTGAGTCTTGTTGCTGTGATGCTTAGTGATATACTCATGCACACTGCACATTACTGTTAGGCTAGATTCACACCTGGGCGATCCGTGAACCTGCGGCAATCGTGCACAATGACACCACCAGTGTGATTGGCAGTGGTGGGCAAAAATGTGACCGTGTGGCCATCTGTTTGGTCCCATAATTGCCCACCACTGCTGATCGCACTGGCGGTGCCATTATTTTCTAATGGCACCCCAGTCACGCCAGGCGGATCGTGAGGTTTCCCACCGCAATACTGGCCGTGCAATTAAATACGATCAGGGCTAAAAAAGCCGTGTGTCATGTGTACTTTTTTGTAGCGATTGTTGTGTGGCTGTAACCCTATTGAAATCAATGGGGCCGCACGGCAATCGCTGTGTGCAATTGTGCACAATCGCGCAGCCCCGGGATCTCCCATATCTGAACCTAGCCTCAGTTTTTGTGATATACTCATACACACTGCACTTTACTGTGAGTTTTATTGCCTTTTAGGGCCCAAGAAAATGCTTGCCCAGGGTCCAATCAGTATTAAAGACGGGCCTGGCCGAGGCCATCAATGGGTAAGCAATGTTGTAAAAGACTGGAGACAAGGGTGTAGTTAGGATCAGGCTGAGGTTCACAACAGGTGAGCAGTGAAATACCAAGGTTGGTATTTCAGCAGAGGTCCAAAGCAAGGTCAGCAAGAGGGCAAGCATGGAACCATAACAGGTCAAATTAGGCCAGGTCACAGAAAATTGCACGCTCAAATGCACAATAATTCAGAGCATGTTCATGTTCCTGCTCCAGCTGCTGAGCCGCAGAATCTTGCTGAAATTTCCCATCTAGGATAACAAACATAAATATAGACCAGACATGGGATCAAATCTTTGCTCAATATACAATATGGGGTTGCCAAGTGCTTTGTGCCAACAAACAGCATTAGGTGAGAAAATGTTTGTGAATCAATCCATTGTTCTAGTGCTCTCTTGATGCTTTATAAATGGTTACAGTCACTAGCTTTAATCCACACACCAGCACAATGATGCTCTTTGCAGTATACCTGTTCAGTTACTTCTATGTTGGAGGTGCAGCAGGAATAAATAGAGAATTCTGGATTGCCATTCAAGAAAAAACATGGGATTATGCTCCCAGTGGCTTTAATAAAATTTCTGGAAAACCTATTGATGTGGATGAGTAAGTACTACGCAATTTTCATTTTTAAATTGCTTTTAAAATATAGAAAACCCTAAAGCGTTGGGTTATCACAGTATAATAAAGGTCATAGGTAATATGGTAAAGATTAATGTTTAAAAAGCAGAAAACATATATATATATATATACACCTATATATA